TTTTTTGGGCCCCTTCTCCCCCCCCGCCGCCGGGGGCCGGCTGTCCTTGCGCGCCGGGGCGGCTTCGGCTGCTCGCGGGACGCGTCGCCCGGCTCAGCCAGGTTTTCACGCGTAGCACTGAGCGGCTTTCTTGGGGCCAGTCCCGGAGAAAAAGGGGGAGGCGGAAACAAAGGAAGCAGCCCAGGGAGCTAAGAAGCGAGTTTTATCCTTCTTTATTTGTTGAAAATGTCAATTAAAAAACTGTTCAAAATAAAAACATGTTAGAAAAGTTGAACTTGCATAAGTAGTAACAGTCAGTCACAGAGAAAAAGGGGGAGGCGGAAACAAAGGAAGCAGCCCAGGGAGCTAAGAAGCGAGTTTTATCCTTCTTTATTTGTTGAAAATGTCAATTAAAAAACTGTTCAAAATAAAAACATGTTAGAAAAGTTGAACTTGCATAAGTAGTAACAGTAAATAAACCTACATGACAAAGATAAAACTGGAAGGCAGCTGACAACATCCATCTAAAGACAGACTCACTGGAACCTATTTACAAAGCGCTGTAAACAAAGTAAATATGGAAACATTGCTGTCCATCCGGCATGGCTTCTCTTCCTTTTTTATTTTTTCTTTTCTTTTTTGGCTTCTAGCTCTTGACAAACGCTTGATCCAAAATGTCCCAGTGTGCCCTCCATCACATTACATCCTACAAACATGCATATGTACACAGCACGGGTTTCAGCTAAACTGGGGGACAGCAGGCAAGTTTTTCTAGCCTTTCCTAGGAGTATAAATGACCCGTTGGCTCGCTTCCTTGCACTGATGGCATGTCACGAGCCAGGCCCTAGCCCGCCTTTGGGCTGGGCCGCGTGATGCCAGGAGGCCGCCTCGGCCCCGTTACGGGGTGCCTGGACAAAGCATCCCAAAATAGCAGCATAAGCTGACTTCAGGCTCAGCCACGCCGGCGCGAGCAGCGAAGGAACACCGTCCTGGCGAAGGATTAACCAGCATACTAGCACTTGACTGCTGCCCCAACAAACGTCAAATGCATGCCCAGGAGGGGATGCGGAGAGCTACCACCTAGCTCAGATGCGTGGGGGAGGGAAGTGTAGCCAAAAAAAAAAAAAAAAAAAAAAAAAAAAAACAACCCTATTTTATCTCTAAAACAACTTAGCATTAAATGGGGATGCTTTTTAAATTCCTTGTGATGTTCTGGAGTCTAGCTGTCCCCAAACACTGTTCTCTGGCTGAATTCTAATTGCAAGGAGGGAGTTTGTAACTATTGCCTCTATTATATCCTTCATGAATAACGTAAATGGTCTGACCGTGTAATGTGCTGTGGTGTGTCCGCATACCCTGGGACCATGCTGCCCCGTGATATTCGTGAGACTTACCATTAACAGAAGATTACTTTTATAACGCTGCTAAGACGGAAGGAAAACATCAGTTATAAACTAGGGTACAACATCAAATAAGATGAAGATATTTGATACATATGCATGTTGTCTGTGTGCTGTGCTTGAGGAGCTGTGCAGGGATCTGGAAGGGTGTCACGTCATTGCCCCAGGAGCATTCCAGCTCTTGTCAAAGCATAAACAGAAATACTTTTCCTATCCCAAGAGAAAGTTCCTTCTTCCTAGAACTAGCCCCTTTGGGGCGATGGTGGAGAAGTGGCCATTGGCTGTGTTCCCAGCCTTTGGGAAAGACTTACAGAGAGTCTAATGGTGGTGGGAGGGAGCAGAGAACAAGCACGTTTTGGGTTTTCTTTTGTCAAGCAGTGTTTGCAATTCGTACAGAGAAAAGCATGTACTGCAAGGGGGAGCACAGCAAAACTATCAACTCATACAATACCTGGACACTCAAAGTGAAAATGCAGCAGGGTGTAGGAGTCACAGGTCATGCAGAAGAAAAGGTACTGGGGGCAGAACAGCAGGTACCTGTTGTGCTAATCGCGAGCTGTTAGGAGGCAGTACTGTGCAACATACCTTCCCATGCGCTCTGACAGGTGCTCCAGATCTGACTTCCCCAAGGACTTAAAATGTCTTCGTGGTAATTGCACATTTAAAATCAGTTATCAAGGCCACACAGGAACCACAGTATTGCTGGGCTCTAGTTCGCTACAGTCAACTAATGGGGAAAAAGAAAGTGGATGGGGAAAGCTTCCCCAGTTGTGATTATCTGAAAGAGGAGCATGGTGCTTTTTGGTTTCTGCTCAATGCCAACTCAAATAACATTTTCATTCAATAAATAGGTACCGGAGCTTTTAAAAAGAATGAAAGCATTAAAAAGTGCTTACGCTTCCTCTCTAGGAAACTACTGCCAAACTCTTTGTGAGCGGCAATCACTAGCAGAGTTTGTATTTGCTCCCAGTAGCAGGTACGATGAGGTATTAGTTGCTGCAGATGAACTGTGAATCATGGACCGCCTGCTTACCATTTTAGTTGTGATTGTTTCTGTGTTTGTTTTATTTCCTTATAGGATGGAAAAAAAAAAAAAAACTATTTCTTTCTCTATGACTTATTTTTTTGGTAACAAAATCCCCAAAACCAACAAAATAAGGAGCAAGAAGAGGCAAAGGATCCAGTTCTGCTTCCCAAAAAACACCTGAGGTCACACACCACTGCCAGCAGCTTCTCCCAGACTCAGGCTATCAGAGACGACTTGCGGCCTGTGTCCTCCCTGGCACACTCGTCCGTCTGCTTCAGCAGCCTTCTAACCAACTTCTCCAAGTCTTTCCTTGATTTAAGCTCTTCCTCCAAACACTGCTTCATCCTTTTATTCTCCTGTGAGGTGAAAAATAAAGGAATAAAGATGCAACTAATGCCCATGCACTTTACGCAATGATGTATTTCTGCATGTCTGGCTGCCCCGTGGCTCACAGGTGATAAAATACCAGGATCTGACAGGTTAGTGGTGGTTTGCAAGGATGAAAAATACAGGTTACCTGTGGCCAGATCAAGGCTCAGGCAGAGCCCTACTTCCTTACAGACCTGCACAAAAGCCCCAGCAGCTTTGAGCAGTGAGAAGCATTCTCCTGAACACCTTACTCCAAGCCTGACTTTGAGGATCCTGTCCTCCTGGCGTAGAGTCTCCCACGTCCAGGCTTGCGGCTGGAGGGAAGAGGATGCATTTCCTCTCAGGCCACAAGAACCTGGCACCTACCGTATTCCTAACAAAAGGACAGTCAAGTCGAAAGAGCGTTTAGACTTAGGGGGAAATTTTCACGTTACAGCAAAGGCCAACTAGTACCTCCCTCAGGCTGGCTCTGGTACTCAAGTGACTATGTGGTGAGCTGATCCAGGGAGCTAAACTGAGAGAAAACTAACCAAGCAAGGAGAAAGTGAACAGTCTTCTCTTTCCTGCGCTGCGTCACCCGTGAACCCCCAGCACTGATGCAAGGGGCTGCATGGCCGAGGGAAGGCAGGCCGCAGCTCTCCCCCACTGTGGTCGGCCATGAGATCACACGGCAGCTCGAGCCAGAGCCATTGCCTCTGGCAGACGGACACGTTACCTAAACAGCAACGTGGGCATGGCACCGCACAGCTCCCGCAACAGGCGCAGGAGCGACTCACACCAAGCAGCTGCGGGATCAGATCGGCAATCTGCAGGAGGTTTCCTGGGCGCTGGCCAGCCAAACACGATGCCCCCATGCGCTTAAGTGCTGGTCTGGCTCTTGATCTACTCACAGCACAAACAGAACCAGTCAAATTACCTGCTTTAGTTCTTTGACTTCATCTTTCAGTGCATAAACCGTGTCAACAAGGCTCCTACAAAAACAAGAAATCCCCCCAAAAATGAAACAAAAGAAGCTAAAGAGCAGGAAAACAAGAGAGTGGGATCGTTGCAACTGAGACACTAATGGGAAGGTGCTTCCGGCTTCTGCTTTTCTCAGCTGCCCATTGCAACATCGGGCTGTCACCATCTTTGCTGCCTGTGAGAGCACCCTGGAAACACCATCTAGAAGCATTTATCAGTCACTGGTCCAAAATTCAAGGACCTTTTCTTAAAACTGGAGAAAAACACCCCGTTCTGCTGGCTTTAAGTCATCAACAAAGTTCTGCAGCTTCGGCTTCTTTGCTTGTGCTACTGCAAACAATAATAATGGTTTTAAATCTGGAAGCGGCTAAGCATCTTTCAGAAAATGACCCTGATTCCTTGAAGTCATGCTGCAACAAAAATAAATATGAAAGGAATGCACTGCCTGGGCTAGACAGAGAGCAGACCAGTACAACCACCCAGACACTGAGGTTCTGTAAGAGGCTGGGAGCGCTCCCAGACAACATTACCCAGGTGACATGCAGGGTCCCAATGGGTAGCAGTAGCCCAGTACATCAAGAGCTTAAAAAAAAACTCATCCAGTTCAGTCCTGCCTGACGCCATTAACGACATCTGGGTGAGTTCTGGGACTCGACAAACTGGCTCTCAGGACCTGGCACACCGACTCGCAGAGGGCTACAGCCAATTCAACGCAGCTGGGAAGGTGGCTTCATTCGCTAAAAGGGACAAATTCCCTATAGAAACGGCCCAGAGCTGCTGGCACAGCCAGGACCCCAGCGAGGACACAGACAGCAGTCTCTGCCAGGCTGTAACGCCTGGCTACTCTGAGCTCCTCACTAGCTGTGCTCCTCTGTGGAAAAGCAGAAGGAGAGGGCCTTAGTTCTTAACATCCTTCCAAAAAGCAACAAGGGAATCTGCAAGTAGAGAGCGGCCTCGCTTACTTTTCCTCCGTGACAGTCTGACCGTTGCTTCTCGTTTCCTCTATGATGATTTTCTCTTCCTCGGGAAGAAGGACTTGGGGGATGGAGTCTTTACGGGAGCCTGCGTACAAGAATTACTCATCAGGAAGAGAAATGGAGACTCTCCCTGACTCCCACACCGCGCAAGAGACAGCACTGCAAATTCGTACGTTGTTCACCTCCTCCGCAAACCTGGGATGCACTGGGGACTCAAGCCAATGTGTGGCTCCCCGTGCGGACCCCTGCGCTGCCCCTCGGGTTCCTAACCTGCGTGTGGAGGCCACCCCGGAGCCCTCCTGCGAGCCACGCGCTGCCCTTGACCTCGCAGCTCCAATGCCTTGGACAACGCTTTTCATGCGAGCCCAGCAAACACAGAGGGGAGGGAGCCAGCAAGGAAACGGCTGCTAATAACAGAAGTTAGCCCTGCTGTGCATCCCGTGGTGTGTGTGACAAGGTGTTAAACACACGCATGCCGCCCCAGCCTGGAAATGTGCCACTGCTTGAATGCTTGCTGTGACACCCGCAGTAATTCCTGTTCTCAGTGGAGGAAATACTGAAAGGGGGGAGCACTTCAGTGAGACCTAAACATTGCATGTATGCACTCTGCTGTGCAAGGAGGGACTCGGGTATCTGCCACGGTTAAATATGGGCTTATATACTTAGCTGAACTGGAGCTAAAGCAGTAAGTGGAAAGATTTCAAGAACGCTCAGTGCATCTAAAGCTACATCATTAGTCATAAACAAAATCATTCGATTAGGGTCAAGAGCCCTTGGAAGAAACACGGCCCCCCCATTTTTAAACGTACCATCATTTGCTAGTTCACTGATTTAATTTGACATCTCACCAGCAATGATAAATAGTTTTATTTCCAGAGCTTAAGATGTTAGATAGTCAGGTTCTTATGAAGCTGCTTGTTCTTAAATACGCAGCTGATTGAGAGATAATATTCATGCTTCCTTTCTAAAGCTATATGCAACCTGAGATTACCATCAGGTTTTCACGCTGACAGCCACAGGCACTGACTAGGTTTGTTTAATTCCTAACAAGTGCTGGTGAAGTAGCTGTGTCTCATCTACCCTCCTACTTACTCATTCTCTGTGTTTAGAAGAAAAACAATGAAAATAAACCACTAGGCAGATGAAGCTTCCTTATCTTGAAGATTGAACACCACACAGTTTCCTAGCATAAGCCTGATTGCTGCATGATGCAACCATCTGTTTTTTCCCAGATGGGTTAACAGTGTGGCAGAGAGAGTAGAAGAATTAAATAATCTGGTCGTGTGCCCACCTGAACTGAGAGCTTGCTGGAAGCCTGCCCCAGTACAGTATGCCTCGATCACCTTCAGGATCTGAGCATCCTCTTCTAATGCAGCAGTACCTGTAAAACATTGCAGACAACAGCTATCGCTAAAAGCAAACTGCTCTGGCTTCATCTCGCCCAGCCCTTGCTCCCAACTCCTTTAAGAGAAGAGCGCGTTGTTGCCTTGACTGACGCTGTCTCTGCAAGTTGCCCGACTCCTTTTTGAGCTTCTTTACATTTTCTGGCCTCTGCAACATCCTGCGGCACTGAGCACCATGACTGAACGGTGTGAAAATGCACTTCCAGCTGCTTGTCCTAGTAAAAGTCAAGGGGTGGTGCCTGACTGGCTGAGGGGAGCACCGGGAGGTGGGTGGGCAGAGCAGCCCTCCTAGGAGGAGTTCCCAGAGGAAATAAGCGTACCCAGGACACCTGGTGCTGCCTCAGAGCAGGACTGGGAAATGGAAAGTCCTCATTTCAAACTCTGGCTCAATGCTGTCTTCTCAAGTGAGACAACTGACCTCTGCCTTTTATATTGCAGCAGCTCACCATGTGACCAAGGTCTTTCACGTAAGACTCACTAGGAGTGTCCCAAAACGGACCCCAGGGAGCTGCTAGAACAACTTTCTTTGCAAGTAAACACCTCTGCGTGGATAGGGCCTTTTTTGTTCCCTGGTCCCTTAGGAAAGTTGATGCAGGACCTGATGGCATGGACAGATAAGAGCTCGTCCCAGTTCTCTTCTTGCTCTCTGTGATATGTACTGTACTCTCCTCTGATGACTGTTGGCTGAGGTGCTTTTAATGCAGCTTTCAACAGCTCAGAAGTGATTCCCTCACTTCGTAGCCAGGATAAGACCATCCACAACCATGTGATTGTGTGCTAGCAATCACAGTGAGGGCGCTAGCGCTGCCCAGTAGTTCTGACTCAGAGGGGATGTATACAAGGCAGAGGAATGGCGCTCTTCCAGAAACCTCCCATGAAGAGCAGCACGTAGACCTGCTCATGTGTCTCATCGTTTACTGCAAGAAAGAATATCCTCAAAGCCCTGTGGAGATTATTAGGGAAATAGAAACCTCAGAAAAGAAGAGAAAAATTCCACGCTTACTTTTCCTAATAACAAACTCTTCATCAGAAGCTTTTCTCTCAGTTTTCCTTTTCGGAAGAAATTTCTTCATTGTTTTTGGACTCTTGCTGGAATCCTATAGAGAAACAGACTCCTGTATTTAATCAGAACCCTAAAGGCAGCTTAAATGAAGGAGCAGGCTAAACATAGCTACACGTGTTACGCGCAACACATGAGAGAACTACAAAGCAGACAACGACAAAGTTGAGGAAAACAATGCTTTTTGCCTTCCCCATTTACTAGATGTGCAGCCACTGCTCCCTCTAATAGCAGTGGGAATTGCACCTGCAGATCTAGGACGTGACACAGTCCTTCAGCAAAGGCATCCCTCAGCTAATATCCTTTAGCCAAAGAATTCAAACGTGCTCACAGCTCTTTTGGTCTGTTTACCACCTCTGTAGTCTTTGTTAGAAAACCCTGTAACATTGGTTATTTCCTTGACTCCATTTTTATTTCTAACATAAAACAGTTGATAAATGACATTGTTTCTAAATGCACACAATTTATTTGAGAGTATAAATACCCCATATACATATATAGGGAATAAACAAATACACACGAAGTTAGTGTCTGCTATGACTGCACAAGTAAGAAACAAAAGCTTTTATCTCCTTCACTGAGTTATGAGTCTTGCTCACTTGGAGAAAATTAGTATATTAGTAGGTTACATGCAATATACATTTTAAGGAATGGCTAAAAAAAGCAGTAGAAGAGGCATGCCAGGAAATTTCAGTATCACAGTCCTAAATTCTTGTTGAGAATCCTCTCAAAATTATATTTGCCAATCACAATTGATTCATGTTAGCGCACTGATATTGCCAGGCAAAATTAGGGTCATACAAGCACGAGAAGCATGAACAAGAAGAACAAGCATTCTTTGCCACAATAAGCCAAAGAGATGTATCTACCCTTACCTTTAAGATATAAGACATCCTCTACAATGAATATGCAAAGAAAGAGAAGATGAGTGTGAGAGGTTGATCATTTTATTGACCAACTTCATTAAATCCACAATTCTAAAACACATTTAAATGTTAGTGTTATGATTAATGTGTCACACCCTCCGTACTGGTTTTAGAGCACTATCAACATGCAAAGGAGCATGGTGGCATGCAAAACTGAAAAAATTATATATGAAACGCATGGTATTAATATACTCTAAACACATCAAAATAGAGCACATGCCTTCTTGGTTAGTAGTAGACTTCTGAAGACATTGCTTGTTTAGGAGAATGCCTCTTGGAAAGGCTGCGGGCGGAGAGGACTGCAGCACCCAAACGCCCGCTAAGAGCCAATTCTGCAGCTGCCCGGCACTCCTGGCTCTGTCCGAGCCCCGGGGAGCTGTGCAGGGGCCTGGCCCCACGCTCAGCGCTGGTCCCACCAGCTTCGGACTGACCCAGCAGGGATGAAGGGACGCTCTGGACACCCCAGGGACAATTCCCCAGCACCGTGTCTGCTCAAAGGGGACCCTCCCAGAGGGACTTGTTCTTCTCACTGGGAACCTGACAGCGTCAGGCATCGGCATGGTGGGATCTCCCTGCTCCTGCTCCAGGAACGGGACTTCTCTGGAACATCCTGGGGAGGGCCCAAGCCTGGCCGTCCCTGGGGCCGTACGGAGGGCTTTCGGCATGGGGAGCCGGGCAGCTCTCCTGCAGATGTGGCCAGCGGAACTAATGAATCCCCAGGTTACAAACCCTTCACCTAAGGCAAAGCAGGTTACTTTAAAAAAAAAAAAATTAGAAATCATTTGTAAGTCTTTCTCACTTTGCTAACCTGAATCCAGACACACCGCTTTACCCATAGCACCTGCTTTGTCATTTCAAATGATTACTGGAAACAGAACAGGAAAAATGACCCATTTTCAATGGAAATAACAACAGCGATGTGCGGTACGTAAGCAGGTTCTGGGGTTTCCTGCATACAGCAAGGTATGAGGAAATGCACAAGACTGTGCCATCCCATCCTACACTATTAGAAGCCAATTAAAGCAACACTGGATGTCTGAAAATCTCTAATCTTTTAATCAAACTCCCCCATTCCCTTCCCTGCAAACAACCTTTGAAATTTGTATTCATTTATTTTGTCTTCATAATAAGGAATGTGCCTTACTCTGAGCTATTAGCACAGTTTATTTTGTGTCCTACTTTATTTTTTTCTTTTTTAAATACAGTCAAATAGGAGTTCTGCTTAGGGATTGAGACTCTGGGTCTAGAGGGAGGGGAAGGGCAGATGAAAATCTGCTTAGGCCAGCAAATGAACTTATCTCACGTGTGGCTTCACATGCCTGTGTCTACGAGTCCCTCTGCATTTAAGAGGCGAGCAGCTCACCAGGCTGGCACAGGTTGGCCGTCAGAGCCTTAATATCATGTTGTGCATTTCCAGCCCTGCTCCAGCTCTGGGTGGAGCCAGCTGGCTGTTCGGTTTCCACTGACCTGTTCAGCCAGCCCAGTCAAGCACTGGCACTGCCAGCGAGCCTTGCATCAGTCGTGTTTTCTTGTAACTCGTTTTCAGCTAGCAAAAAGTTTGCAACAGGCAAAGCCCCATTTCCCAAGCTCTGCTTGCAGTCTGGGCAACAGGAGCCTATGCTGCTCAGCTGTGGCCACCAGGTCCTGTCCCACCAACTGGCAGCTGTGGCAAAATGACTGCAAGTCCAAGCCTATGCCAGGATGTGGCCTGAAAATCTTTTCATTATCTGGGGACTTTCTGGTCTCAGCAGTGCCTTTAAATGAAGGCTCGTTAGAGGAAGATGAGGGCTGCCTCCACTACTTTCCACGGTGGGCCCATGATACCATTGTCCCCATGCAAACCGAGGTTTGGGGTCCTTTTACAACTTGCGTGCCACCATCCAGCCCCGGAGCATTGGCACATCCCGTTGGGCTCCCTGTCTGCACAGCCTCGGCTGCAAAAGCCTTTCTACGCAGGCAGTTTAACTCCTGCCCTGTGGGCAGGGAATAACTGAGAAAGTGCGAAGAATTGTGGTATTAATGATATCGCTCAATCTGTGGTTTTGGCCTACATCAAAAATAAATACAATCTTTGTACTTTCACCCAGAAATATTTCTCCTCACGTTAAAGCCCCTTCCTATATTTCAATTCATCATGCAAACAAGAAACTGTTTAGTCTACATTAGGGATTTGGAACATGCAAAGATTAAGGGTGGTTTTCAGTTCGCTCACTTGTTTTTTTTTTTTTTTTGGACAACTTAATTTCCAAACTGAAATTTATTATTTTATGAATTTTAAGAAATAAACAGAACAGAACACCATGACGCCCTCTAAAATCTCTGCCCGCAGCAGCGGCCCCACAGCCCCCCTGGCTGCTGGGCTTTCTGGCCCGGAGAGCCGGGGGGCAGAGCCGGCGGCAGCGAGCGAGCCCCCTCCCTGTGCCCGTGCCGCGCTCGGAGCCCCAGGCAGTAACGCTCCCAGGGCTGCTGTACCAAGAAAGGCCAGTGACTCAGAACCGGAGTGCTCTATCAGTAAGAGGAACGTTACCCGAGTTACCGGTGAGTAATCCCCAAAGTTTAATGTGAGGTAGGGAAGGAGAGCATTGCAGTTACCGCAGGGGTTGAGAATAGGAGCTGGGTTTTATTTTGGGTTTCCCCATACTGCTGTCCCATGGGCCTCCTACCTCCCAGGCTCGGGGTTTCTGCAGCGGAAGCGATCCCGCAGGCCTGCTGCATCCCAGCAGGTTGCAGGTGTGTAAAACTCTCAGGTAAGCTGTGAAGGAGGGCCAAGTGCAACTGCAGGACTGGTGACATCCAGCAGCCGAGGGCAGGAGCGTCATGGACCACAGCAACGAAATCCCCTTGCACTGCCTCCCAAGGCGCTGTCGCTGACTGAGAGCGAGCTAGAGCAGCTGACAGAAAACACTGAGAACGGGACACTAGCCCTGTAAACACACATGCTCATGCTCCCCTTGCAGCATAAAGCCAGGTGCAGTGACAAGCATCCACCACGTACTTTTGCAGGACTGGGGCATGACTTTGCACAGTATTTTCTCTTCACATTCCCATTGGCTAAGGAGCAATAAACCTAAGCTTCTGTGCCCCCACCATGGGCTAAGAAATCTGGGCACCAACACTGGAGACTGTCATGAAATGATGGTACCCTGTGTGCACGGGGGATTACCTCTTTGTAACTCAGTGCTGCTGACGGTCTGAGCGGAGGAGCAGGGCGGAGGCAACTCAAGCTCCAGGGCTTGAGGATTTTGGGGGGCTCCAGTGGGCCACGAATCTGTCCAGTTGAACCAAATGTCTGAGAAAATAGATGAGAAACAATGAAGACTGTTAGCCACCAAAAAAAGTATCCAAACAGAGGACAATGGACAAAGGCTCGCTTTAAGCTCCTTTAAGGCACGTAGGTTGCAGCCAAATTAGGGCAGGATATATGAAAATTGCTATGAGCAGCGCTGGCAGTGAACTACACAGGTACAAACAAAACTGCAGCGATGCAAAAAGTTCTACAGCTGTATAAATTATCTCGCTATCAAGGTGCACTGCAGAAAAAGAGAGATCAGCCAGTGCTGAGAAACAACAGGCGACAAGAGAGGTTGGGGTGAAACACACTTACTGAATGAGCGCTCCAGGACTGTGTTTTGGATATGGTGTTGCACGTCCCTTTGGTGAGCCTTTGCAAATGGTCAAGCCATTCGTGCAAGTCCTGGCTGCTGCTGCAGGACACAGTGATCCGCTCTGTCATGTTCCCTGCAGCACAGGGTTAAATAACCTTCTTTAGCAAATGGCAGATACCCAGGAAGAAACACAAGATAAGCTCAACTCATCATAACAGCAAGCACCTCCTCAGTTTGCAAAGCCCAGTGGCTTCAGAAAGGCCAGCGCAAAGCTATGACTGCCTGTTCTGTTTTGGGCACCCAGCCCCAGAAAGTATGGGAGCAACACAGAAAAGCTAAGGAAACTGGAGGGATGAAAGTGCGCAACATTGTTTAAAGTCAGAAGTAAGCAGATGCAGCGATTCAGTGATTAATGGGGCCCTGACACCAAATACCACTAGGCACAAAGTGCTACTGGGAGGCATGATCAGCCCTCGCCAAAAATTTGTCTCATATGAAACGCTGCTCTACCAGAAAGCAGCTGGGCACTAGCCAGAGACAGAAGCTCAGGGGCATCAGAAGGAGGTTGCCTCAGGCAGGAGGAAGATGCCCAGGAACTCGGGTAACACAGCAGAGGGGCAGAATGATGACTGTGGCTCAATGGGGATGCAGAGGTTGCGAGCAGGAGGACTGGTATCTCTGGTGGCGGCTGCTGCTGGGACTGGGAGGATGGCCCCAGGCAGGGGCCACACTGACCTGCGATTTCAAATGCGTGCTCGTTGCCTTCGGCATCTTCTAGCTTTGTCAGTGTCATTCCTGTTAAAGGCAGCTTTCCCTGGGAGAATTGAGGAAGAGTCAGTGCATGCATCTGCCTCCCAGGCAGCTGTTGTTTTATTTGCTTCCGCTGATTCCTTTCTCTTTAGGATTTGCCATTAAAAACTAATTTGTGAAGGCTTCATACTGCATGAAGAGTCTCCTTTAATTCATGGATCTAGATCTCCCTGTACAACTAGGTCAAACCCCTGAGAAGAGGCTCCCATGACAACTGAGTCATCCCTGGCTCATCTGTCACCCTTGAAACTCACTAGGTGCAAAGCCTTTTTACAAAGAAGTCAGGACCATGAACTTCCCCTGTGTTTTCTGAAAGCCTTCCGTGTCCTCTGCTTTGCATAGCGAACTGCCCACTCGCCTTACTTCCCCTGGTGGACAAAATCTAAGCCCAGCAAAACCCTTCCCAAACTCTTCCTGTCTCCCTCATCACCCCTGCACACAACAAATAACACATCAACACAGGACTGTCCTTTCGGGGAGGTAATTTATTATTTCAAGGAATTAGAGTACGGCAAGCTCCAAACAGCCTGATTGCAGCCATTCAGAATGGTAAGACACAAGAAATGCATCATTTAGGGAGCCTCATACAGTGGAAATTTTGCCTATCTACAGTGGGCTTTATAATAGTGAAATATTTTCCAGAGACAGCAAAACACCGACAGTCAGCTGGCTGTTCGTGCGGAGCAAAATCCTACAGCCGGGTCAGGACTCCTTACACACACAAAATTCTCGAGAATAGCATGTAGGGCAACAGCAGTGGCAGGATTTGGTTTGAGGGTTTTTTTTTCCTAATTCCACAGCATTCACGCTTACCACATGCTGTTTAGCCAGTGGCAGGACAAAGGTACTTTCAGTAAGTGCCCTGGTATGCATGGTAAAACCAAGCCCTGCTTCCTTAGCGTGGAGCACTAACACCACAGCAGAGAGATTTGAGGAAGTAGAGAATTTGAATTTTATGAGAGATATCTGATTTCCTTTTTCACACCTAACACCTTGCAACTTCAAATTAGACATGCCTACCTGATATATGAACCCACTCATCCGTGGGCTTGCAGACAGCATGAGCAAAACATTTGAAAACAACAAGAAATAGCGCTCTTCTTTCTCCTGCAGGGACACGAACTGAGGTTAGTCCAGTTTGCAAGCTATCGCAAGTACTCTCCTCTCAGCAAAGAGAACTTGTTGCAGTTGGAATTACAGACCCAAACCAATTACTTTGGCTTATTTTCTTTACAGCGTCACTTTTCTGTATTTACTGTACTATTTTTTTCTGAGGGAGCCTACATATATTGTTGTCTGCATCTTGCTAATCCCAAAGATATCACTGACCTCCTTCTCCAATCATTTCAAAGCGCTTCAGAAGACCTTATGTCTCCCAGCATTTCACATCCCAAAGGAGACAGCAAGGACTAGACACTAAAGGGCTTTGTTTTACAGATCTTCCTTCCCTGGGGAAGTTGCTATAGCAAGGAAGCAATTCAGTGGTAACAGGCACATTCCCGCACAGCAAACACCAAACATGCAGTATTCATGCGTTTAACCCCACAGGAAAATGTCTGTTAAAAACGCGTATGTGATGCTTCAGGACCAGAATCTGCTCTTGTAGTACAGGAATCCCTTCAGCTATTTCCACAGTGCAGTCAACTCTGGAGTGGGACGTCACGACAGCTACCAGGCCGTGCACAGGACGTTGCAAAATGATTATGCTAATGCACACTTTAAAGTCGCTCTCATTTCTCAGAGTAAGTCACAGGGAGGAAGAAGGGAAATTAATGTGCTAAATGACACTAAAACACCTTTTTTTGTTTGAAAAGTGTGTCATTGAAGGCCTGAAGCTAATCCGTCAGGACCTGATGCAGCGCTTCACTTCAAAGACATGCAGAGTCCCATTGTGCAGCACTCACTCGGGTAAAGGGAGGCATTATTTGTCAGCACTTGGCTGGCCTGGCGTCAGAAGAGCTGTCACCTTGCATAGCTGATCCCATGAGCAAGCAGGGATTTCTTTAGCCAGCAGAAGGAAGGACCACTGCACTTACCTCACTTCCCGCACACTGTACCATAACCTGGGACATGTAGATTATGCTTCCCATCGTTTTTATGTCCTCTCCTTCCCAGCGCTGGATGGATTCTGAAAGGATCTGCAGTTCTAGCTGTTTCCTCTTCCTCAGCTCCTGGCACTGTGACTGGAAATCACAGCGGCAGTGCTTTTTGTTAACAAAAGGGCAGACTCAAACTCGAACCATCCTAACAAAGACGGATTCACCAGCAATGCTGCCACGGCCCGACAGCTTTAGCCAAAGGAGCTCGGTGCTGAGCACGCCAAGGGATTGCACCACAAGCAGAATTTGACTGCAGGGCTCAGAGCGTTACCCCAAAAAAGACCCATGGCAATGGGAGGAATTCAACGAAGAGGGACAGCATCATATATTTCACATTATACACACAATTGAGCCTACCATTTTGCAAAAGCTTCACTACCTTTGCACCAGGAAAGCCTGCTTGAAAGTCTGCTTTGGCTCTGTTACACAAAGTTTGTTTAAAATCATACCTTAACAATTTACAAAGTAATGAATACATTAAAATGTCAAAGAAATTGCAAATTGCACTGAGCACACTTTTCTTTCCGAACCAGTTCTAGCTCTGAGAGGACAGGGTCATATTTTCCAAACCAAGATAGCCACACAGTTAAATGTTTCTAATTTTACCAGTGTTCAGAGAGACTCTGCCAATTTTGCCCAAACAGCAAATAAAGTCACACCTGCAGCAGTGCAAAACCCCCACAAATCAGATTGGCAGATATTTTCCTAAGAAAATGTACAAAACCAAAACTGGGAGCTTGGCACAATATTGCAGCAGTGCAGTGGAGCAGTACAAGGGGAAGCTTTTGAAGCTATCACAATTCAGAAGACTGCACCAGCGTGCGGCAGTTCTGGACTGGTAGAGCTCCTTGGGGCGGCTAGTCTTCCAGCAATTTCAGCAAACAGAGGACAGGGCTGCCTAAGCAAAGACGACCCTGCAAACCCACGCAAAATTTGCTATAACTGACCATTCTGCCAGTGGGGAAAATTGCTGCAAGACCAAACCTGGGCTGGCTCAGTTTTGACCTACTCCTTGTTTTTCCAAACCTCTGTTTCTGACAGAGATTCTTCTCCTTTCAAACTCAGGAAGGGAACCAGCTGCATACAAATTCTTTGACCATCTAGATCTTTTGGCAGGCCCAAAGGAGAGACTGTGTTGGGTCTAGCCTGAAAACACAGACAACTTTCAAATTAGATTGTGGGGGATTCCTCTGGTTCTGCAATTGTCGTGTGCTTCAGATGGGTCTTTGGCTCCCTGAATGGCGCATCCAAAATGCATAGGGTGCAAATTCATATAAAATCCACAACAACCCATCACAATCTGGATAGCAGGCGCCACTGCAGATTACATGGCTCTGCCCCTGCTGTGGCTCTGCAGTAAAGCCTGCCGTGCCTTCGCACAGGAGC